TGCAGGCTGGGATCATCTTTGGGCCAGGATCATCTCCCAGCTGGGATCATCTCCTGGTGGGATCATCTCCCAGCTGGGATCATCTCCTGGCTGGGATCATCTCCCGGCTGGGATCATCTCCTGGTGGGATCATCTGTGCGCCAAGATCATCTCCTGGCCAGGATCATCTGTGGGCTGGGATCATCTTTGGGCCAGGATCATCTCCTGGTGGGATCATCTCCCGGCTGGGATCATCTCCTGGCTGGGATCATCTGTGGGCTGGGATCATCTCCTGGTGGGATCATCTGTGGGCCGAGATCATCTCCTGGTGGGATCATCTCCTGGTGGGATCATCTGTGGGCCGGGATCATCTCCTGCCTGGGATCATCTCCTGGTGGGATCATCTCCTGGCTGGGATCATCTCCCAGCCAGGATCATCTGTGGGCTGGGATCATCTTTGGGCCAGGATTATCTGTGGGCTGGGATCATCTCCCAGCCAGGATCATCTCCTGGTGGGATCATCTCCCGGCTGGGATCATCTCCTGGCTGGGATCATCTGTGGGCCAGGATCATCTCCTGGCTGGGATCATCTGTGGGCCAGGATCATCTCCTGGTGGGATCATCTCCCGGCTGGGATCATCTCCTGGTGGGATCATCTGTGGGCCGGGATCATCTCCTGGTGCCACCACGGGGCCTCCTCAGGCCCTTTAACGCTCCGTGACTCCCGCGGCTCCAGCGCCGGCTCCGCGGCAATCCCGGGACCGATGCCGCCGATCCAGCCCCCGACCTGTCACGGAGCCTCAAGATCAGGAGGGACGGCTCCCGGGGACACGGCGGCACCCGCGGAGCGCGGGGACAATTCATGGAAGCGACAGCGCGGGAGCGGATCCGGGGGAACGAGATGAGCGGGGTGGGGAGTGCTCGGCAGATCCCTTGGGAAAGGGGAAAGGTGGGAAAGGGGAAAGGTGGGAAAGGCTGGATGCGATAAATTCAGGAATTAAGAGGAGAACTTGGTGTTGCTGTGCTTCAGCGTGACCTTGCCTTCAGCCTTTGCTTCCCATAAGGAAAATTCC